AAGGATGCCTAAGGCTTAACTCGATTTGATCTCAGAATCAAAGCACGATTATTTGTTGTTTGGCCTCCGAAATGAAGGTCGAGGTGGCGCACGGATCTTGCCCTGATCAAAGAACTCAAAATAAACGTTCTGAAGCCTTCTAAGAAAAAGTGGCACAAGGCCCGTGCTTGTGAAGTGCACCACAACACTGTGGCTTGCGCCACTAGTGCTTTGGCGTGCGCCACAATGTGTGGCTAGAGCCACTAATGCCTAGAGAGTCCCCATTATAGCTTGTCAACAGAATCAAGTCCATATAAAGGATTCATAGTAATCAGATCACTATCATAAAGGCAATGTTAATAATATGATAGATAATCACATGGACAGCATTAAAGAAAACATACCACTATGTACATTCCAGTACTATCACACATTACACACTTTAAGGCAGTAACTTCTCCCTTTAATTACAAATCTCCATGTGCACATAGCCTGATGGTATAGCCGCCATCAATTTGGGATTCTGTCATATTGGCTAAACAAAAGGCTTGGTACAATCAAATAGGCCTAGAGGCCAAATAGGTTCCACAATTTACAATCTCAATATCATAATTAACAAATGGTTTCAAATACCAATAATGGTATGCATTTGATCAAAAGTTCCAATGCAACAAGGAAGGGTTAGTCACTGTAAGTCACCTCGAAAGCGAGAATTTGATTTCTCTTGATCACTTATAATTTCAAAATGGTTCCGTGGTAATCCTCGACCTATATTCACATTTAAACACATGTTGCAGTTTTAGTCTTATTTCTATATCTTTATTGACACTCAAGGTTCTTTGATATTTTTTTTCATTAAATTTGAATATGAAATTTTGGGGATATAATTTACACATACTAAATTTTATGTTCATCCATTATATGCTCATGTTCATAGTTTATTTACTTATGTTTTACCTTAGTGAAGCACAAAATTTTCAGCATATGAGTTGCTTGCATTCTCTTGACTATATTTTCATTTCTAAAAATCCTTTTGCTATGAAAGTTTTACAAAACGTTCCCAACATCTTAAGGCACTCCCATGTTAAATTTCATGAATTTTAGAGTTCATTTACCTATTCAAATAATCCAATTACAGAACCAAAATTTCAGTTTTCTCATACTAAGTAATCTGCTTTCTTTTATTAATATCTCCAATTTCTTTCAATCAAAATAAAAATACAGCATTCTAAATGATTAATTAACATGTTTAAAAGATAATTTCAACTTTTTTTTAGTCATCAAATTAAAGATTTAAGCTTAGAGAAATATGAAAATGAAAGGTAGAATTTTAAATTCTATACCTTTCTTTTAATTGCTTTTGATTTCTCTTCTCTTATCACTTTATTGGCATAACTCTTCCTTTGAAACTTCTGTAGTTACTTGATATTATGCTATGAATGGGCTATAGCAGGTTGGAGAATGGTGGAAAGGAGAAGGAGGAAATTTGCAACATTTTGTTTTGGAGGTGAAGATGTGGAGGTGTCTTCTCTTAGTACACTTGTCCTCCTTTCTCTTAAATTAGAGGATGAGTGACTTGTGCACTTGTCTTCATTTCTTCTTAGTTTGGAGGTGAGTCATGTATTGTGTTGTACAAAAATTAGGCTGCCACTTGTATAGATAAAATGTCCCTTTTAACCCCTTTAGTCACTCTAGGTTTATTAATAGTCTAAGTATCTAGTTGGTCATTTCACATTCTTATTACTTAAGCTCATTTGCTTTAGAATTTTATTCTTTTAATTCTCAAATTTTGTTATTTTAATTAGGTTAAGATGTATGTATTTTCTTTTTATGGAATTATGTTGCCTTTCAACTTAATTTTCTTAGGAGATTTTCTTTTTGGTACATTTGTGTCGTCTCACTTTAGGTGTTTTAGGATTTTCTATATTTATCACTTTAATACTTTACAATTTCATTTCCTTGCATTTCAATAGTCATATTGTGTGTATTTTTATCCTATCATAATATGATTCACTCGCTTGCCTTCTCATACTTAACTTTTTTCTTAAAGAGTGCAGATTTTCTCTTATTGTTATACATTTGTCCCGGTCGTCTCACTTTTTAGGTGTTTTAGGATTTCTATTATTAGTCACTTTAATACTTTACAATTTCATTTCCTTGAAATTTCAAGTATTAATTCTCAAATTTTGTTATTTTAATTAGGTTAAGATGTATGTATTTTCTTTTTATGGAATTATGTTGCCTTTCAACTTAATTTTCTTAGGAGATTTTCTTTTTGGTACATTTGTGTCGTCTCACTTTAGGTGTTTTAGGATTTTCTATATTTATCACTTTAATACTTTACAATTTCATTTCCTTGCATTTCAATAGTCATTTGTGGTTTTAATAAGTCACATACTTATAAAATATATCTTTATTACTTATTTACTTAATCTGCATAACATTTGGAGTATAAAACTTTCATTGTAATTAGGGTGTTACACCTAGCATGAGAGAGAAATAGGTAGAAGGGTGTCCCTTGAGTATTCTTACCTTAAGTCACATATTATTCAAAGACGACGTGAAGACTATCACGTTTTTAGATTATGAATCCATCAAGTAAAGCTTGAGTTTGAGTAAAATGGTGGTTTTTGGAGAATGAAGAAGAAAAGAGAAGGGGAGAAGAGAGAGGAGGGTTCGGCCACTTGGAGACAGTGAGATGAGAGGTTCTTTTTATTATTTTTTAAGTGTTTTATGTGTAGTGTACGACATGTAGGTATATTTACTAAAAAGAATGAAGGTAGTTTAGGATTTTTCAGTTCTTATAGAGGCATTTGTTGCATTTTAAGATCATTTGTAGTGTCTTTTGTCGAGAAAGTAAAATTGGACTTGTCCAATGCGGTAGGGGCATTTTTGTAATTGTAAGAGTAGAAATCTTTGTCTTAGTCAACTTCTGACTTAATTTGTGTGGTTAGGATTTATTGTCTCTTTCTCATCTAATGGCTAGAATTAAATATTGCACCAACTCCTAAAAATCATACTAACCACCCCTCATAATATAGGACATGTAAAAATAAACAATTTCTAGACGTACAAAATTACCATAATACTCCTATGACAGAGAAAATAAACTATACATACATAAATCATGTCTTAATCAAAATAAACTCCTATTGATCACTTAAATTCTAAAACACACATAATAAACAAAATTATGAATTATTTCATCATCGGATTAATTTAAATTACCAAGCCTTTTTGGGCGGTACTAAAATTGACTTGATGATGACATAATTTATAATTGAAAATTCAGAGCATTATATTGAGAATACAAGTGATTACTTTTTTCTCTAGGTTCAGGACCATTTTCTTGGAATTCTAAGAAGTAAGAAGTTGTTGCTCAATCTACCGCAGAAGCCGAGTATATTGCAACAAATTTTGCAGCAAACCAAACAAACTGGATCAAAAAATTACTGAGTTTTGGGACTAGAACAACAAGGTCCTACTATGGTTTTCTAGGACAACAAATCAAAAATTGCGATTGTACAAAAAATCCAGTCTAACATGAAGGAACAAAGCATATTAAAATCAAATTTTCATTTATAAGGGAAGTTAAAAAAAAAAGGAAATCAAGTTGGTTTATTGCAAGCCAGAAGTTTAACATGTTAATATCTTGACAAAAGTTTTACATCATGCCAGATTTGAATAACTAAAGAAGTTGATAGGAATTTGTAAGAAAAGTCTCAAGGAGGAGTGTTAGAGTTGGTGAGTCTTCTTTCTAGAGGATTAATGAAATCAAAGAGTCAAAAAGCCAAAGAGTTTTACTTAAAAAAAAGTATTTTATTAATTACTCACTTATTGTCCTTTTAATTCATGAATTTGAAAAGGTCATTTGGACTGGCGTATATCCGCTAAGTTTATGTGTTTTGTAATATAATGTGAGATTCCAAAATTCCTTCTTCTATTCTTACTTTCCGTTTCTTGAATGTTTACTGTTTATACACTTTAGTTTCCTAATTTAGCAAATATATTTGATATTGATTTGGCTTTTGCTTAACTTAGTCTCTAGCTCAATCCCATTGAGCATTCAATTAAAAAGTGTCTCATTTCGACTAAAATGGAATACAAAATACAATATCCAAGTTAAAATATGAAGGAAAAAATAGTAAAAATACTTTGACATTATAGCTTAAGTGTTCCAACAAAGAATTATAAATATATATATATATCGAAAGAATTATAAATACTGTAATAGCTACCCTACCCTCTATATAATATATATACTATAATATACCCTACTACCCCGACTATATATTACACACACACACATACGACAGAAGAAGGAAACATTCCTATTTATCTTGTTTGCTGTGATGGTTTTAAACTGAATTGTTATTAACAGACTGTATACAATTAAATTCGATATGTTAAAATTCATTTAATCAAGTATAATCTGTTAATGTTTGGGAAATCAATTGAAAATTGAAAACCTTTACAAAATTAAAAATTCTTGCCTTTTATTAGCTAAACATACCCTTAGATAGACATTTTAGAAGGTTAAAAGGCAGTTCATTCACATACACACACACACATAGACAGAGAAGGAAAATATTACCTATTTAATTTGTTTGCTGCTGATGGTTTTAACTGAATTGTTATTAACAGACTGTATAAATAAATTCGAATGTTAAATTCATTTATAAATAAATTTTTAATGTTTGGAATAAATTTGAAAATTGAAAATTAAAAATTAAAAATTCATTTGCTTTTATTCCTAAAATACCCTTAGGATAACAATTTTAGAAGGTTAAAAGGATTCATAATTTTATCATAAAGTTTTAGATTGTTTAAATTTATAGAATTGATTTGGAAATTTCATATTTTTTGGTAGAATTTACTTTGTTACATTTAATTCCTAAAATTGAATTCTTTTATGTTTTTTCCATACCAAATAAAAAAATTTATATTTATAAATGAATTCCACAAGCATTCAAACAAAAGGTAAGTGTATATACCCAACGGAGTCAAGTCTTTCATTGTTATCAAATCCTAAAATCATTTCTAAAACACGCAATCCTATGGAATACTTCTCTGACTTGTTGCTCTAGTGAATCCAAACCGCTCTTAAAAGCATCAGAAACCAATGCTAGCTCTTTTACACCCTCCTCTACTTGATTCTTGTGTTCCTCTGTGATTGGAAACTGATCATCAGGAAGATCAATCAACTCTGTCAATTGACGCGCGCATTTCTGAATTTTATAAATTTCCTTCAGCGACCCTGTATTGGAGTTTGGGCGATTTCTTCTCCTGGTCTCCTCTACGATCCTCTCATGAAGTAAGAGAAGAGGAAAACCGCAAGATAAATGGCGAGGGAAAGACAAATGAATGTTAAGGCCCTTGTCTTGGTTAGGAATTGCAGTAACAAGAGTCCACAAAACAAACATTAGCACAGAGCTGATTGTATAAATGGTGAGTGCAAGTCCATTCGTAGACATAATCTCATTTAGACGAGGTTGGATTAAATTGTTTGCCATCAACTGAATTTGTCTAGCTGCAGAAGCAGATGGAGAAACAGTCAATGAAAGAGAACGATGATGGGGATGACGATAATTCTTGCTGCTTTGGTTATTCCGTCCAAAAGATGGAGGAGGATTCCGATATGAAATAACAGAATCAGAATCTTTCTCTTCAGACATTGCCAATTCTAAATCCATCAATGCTTTTCTTGCTCGACGAAATTGGCCCTTGCCGATTACTCTTTGCCGAGAATCTAAAGCACACAAAACAATCTCCAAATGCTTTTGCCATAAATGGACTTTGTCAATCCCAGAACGAGTTGCATTACAAACATCCAATGCCTTGAGACTCCTTTCAAAATATTCACCAACCAAATGATCTAACGGTGGCCTTGAGATTTGTGTTTTGTTCTTCAACAAGATTACTTTAAATTCTTCTTGGAAATATATGAAAGAATCCAAAAGTTTCCTTATCCAATCAACAGAGATTAATTCATCTGCGCTTGCACCTGACAGGTCATGAAGCCGATCTACAATCTGTTTTTGAAATGATTCAAGTTCTGTATCAGAGAAATTGTATTCATGGATGGCCTCCATAGATTGACTATGTTCGCGCCTCGGACTAAATATTGAACGACCGAAAGAGCGAAAGGGTGACGGTGAGAGAAAAGGTGCTGGTGATGAGGAATCCTGACCTTCGGTTGAGGGCATTGTTACAAGAAACAAATATTATCTCCCAAGAATATTGACGATATAAAACAGAATCAAATTTAAGCACAAATCTCATCAATGCAAATCTCTAAATGAGGAAAGCTTTGAAAGCCATTGCTTACAGCCCCATAACTTATCTCAAGAACTATACATCTTCAACATTGGTTAAGGAAACTCAAGAAAAGATATGAAAACAATTATGTCCCAAAAGATTATAGGATGCAAAGAAATTTCACACAATAATAATAATAATAATAATAATAATAAGGAGAAGAAGAAGGAGAAGAAGAAGAAGAAGAAATTTCACGATCGATACGAAAATGTCCCAGGAAAGCTATTCGCAATCAAATCAAAGAGAGGTAGTTAGTTATGGTTTCTAAATAGATAAAGATGTGTAATCACATTTATTGAGATAATTATGCAAGATATTATAATACAAGGGGATGGAAACGAGGTGTGATTTTCAAGTACATCAAAGGCTTAATTACGCAATTATAAATGAATATGGTAGTAAAATTACTGCCAATGATGTATGTGGATATATGTTTCCAGACACGTGTTATCCATTTTTTTTAATAAGTTTGGTCGTGGGTACCTCTACCCAATACTAGGTTGAGGAATAAGTTAGGTTTAGTGAGTTGTGGACCGATTAAATTGAATTTTAAAATAAATAAATAAAAACAAACGAACCATAGTTGATATTGAAACTGAATCAATTTGAATTAAACCATCTCGGTTCATTTTGTTTGACCAATTTTATCAAATCACGTCGGTATTAAGTCTAACAAATTATTTTTACAAAATAGAGATGAACTAAAAAAATGTTCATTTAGACCATTTAAACTAAGAATGGAAAGACGATTATATCCAACACAACCTTGTGAAGTTTCTAATTGGAGGGGGCTCCATCACATTAGCAAATAAGAGAAGTGGATGTTCTGTTAATATAGTCTCTCTAGGCCTCCCGTCTCTAAAGAGCTACTTGATGGAAAAGATTTGTCCTTCATGACTTGACCTAACACCACAAGAGTCTACCCGTGCCATGAAATGAAGAAAGTAGATGACTAACATTAATGCTTCTCTTCCAATGAAAACACTCGAAAAAAGTATGTTTGAATGGCGTCATAGGAAAGGAATGGATCTAGATCAACAAGGCTGCTTTCACTGCTCACTATCCTCAAAGCGGGATATTATCTCTATCTATTCATTCCCAGGCATTCTTGGCTCTTCATCTGATTAGCCTAATAGAAAAATTCTCAATTGGGAGCTAGGAGATATGCACGCTAACTGATGGATAGAATTACTCCAGCTTCATCGGGTTAGTAGATATGCCTAGCATAGCATCTATTTTGACTAGAAATGTTGAAGGCGGGATGAGATATCTCTCTCTCCTGCACTAGTTAATCATATGCCATCGGATTCGCTCCTAATCATAATGAGGTGGAATTGTTCATCTTCTAGCTTCCTCTACTTCCAATGGTGGGATAACCATTGATGCAGACAAAGGCTAGGTAATGTCTCTCCAACTAGCTCTACCCTGGTCACTAGGTCAATTATTAGCTCAGTGGTTCTTCAACTTCAACCAGAATAAATCTTGGGCGAGGTGGTGGTAGGGAAGCTTATAATACTAGGATTGAAACCATAAGGGGCATTTATGCTGGACTGAAGCTTTGATACTCATGCCTATGCAGCCTTTTTTCGCATCCATCTCTCATTGATTCCCCTATGGAAGAAAGAAGAACATTCCTTAGTTGAACCTTTATGCCACCAGCATCTACTATTGAAGCTCTTTCTATACCATCCAAGTTATAGGATCATTAGTCTCATCCACAAAGGCATACATAGAAGGCAGTATCTCACCCAGTGCTTGCTTGCTATAACTCTATCATGCTTTAAAGACCTTTTGTCTAGACAACAAACTCAACAAAAGAGTTGCCATCAATGGTATTCACCACCTTTAATTTAAGGAAAGCCTAGAAGGTTAAGGTGTCTTCTTACCCTAAATCAATTTGCTTGTAGACTATTTTTGACTTTGTTGAGGATGACGAGCTAGTCATCATCCCGTCCCTTTCTTCTCTTTAGCTTAGTTCTATAAGGTTAAGATCTCACATGTTTTTGAGGATCAGTGTCGTGTGGATTAAAAGAAGTAGTTCCCTTATCGGCTTTAAAAGGACTGAAGGATGGACACACGTCTCACCTATTAGTAGTAAAAAAAGGCACTTTAAACATTTGAAGAATATAAAATTTATGGGAACCCTACCTATTTAATGTTTATTTTAAATGGGTTTCAGACGAATATGAGTAATAAAATTCTGAACGGGATCAAATATAAATACTTAACGGATATTATCAAATATAATGGATGTAAGTAGTAATTCTAAATGGATTCAGATGGGGACATGTGTCCATCCCTACCATTATATTATCATATTTCAAAGAATTATTTAGTTTGTTTCAAAGAATTTTTGTATTTATTAGTAATTTTCTATTATTTTATGTCACTATTTCATACTCTTAGGCCTTATTCAGTAGCAATATTTAAAGTAGTATTCCCTCCATTACAAAATATAAGTTCTTTGGTGATTATTTTGTCCCAAGGTATAGTCATTTTTGTACACCTGCTGTAACACCCTAACACCATGTATCCAAGGATAAATAGTACTAAGATGCTACATAATATATCATACAGATCCATTTACAAAAATATAAGTCGCACCATGTGTTAAACAATAAAGACCAGTATCAGAAAATTTTCTTACTTTTCACAAATAGTCATAATATATACATGACCATACATAATTTAAAAGTTACTTAATACATGGTGGATGTCAAGGAGTTGAACTCCTACATAGCATATTACAAACTGAGGAGGTGACATGCATACACAACTGATCCCGACCTTGGTTCCATTTCTCTCTATCTGAACAGAAGAAAGTTTGACTGCTAATGCCTCCTAGCCAAAATCTGGAAAAAAACTAACATTTTATATGAGATGCTATTCAGTGAGTAAAAACCATCATAAATGATTATTTGAAATAACATAACATATTATAAGCATCTCAAATAAAGCACATGGTGCACTCCCAATAAGCTAATCATCTTTAACTCCTTGGGCATCAATGCCCGACATCAATAATTATAAGATAATAATAGCCATTCATCAAATCATTCATAGAAATAGTGTGTAGATATCACATCATTCCCATTGACAAAAACCATAGTCATTCAAGGCATCATAGATACGATGCTATAGAGATATATTTTTAGAAATATGATGCAGATGATTGTCAATCTATTTATGTTATGACTTGTCAAACCAAACTTGCTCCCGGGGTATCAGATAATAGATTTTAGATATCAAATTTAGTTGGCCAGCTTTTAGATTAGATTTTTAATCACGCAGCTCCAGATTTCAGATTTATGAGCACGCAGCTCTAGATACATATCATATTTACGAGATGGTAATGACAGTCTTATGTTATGACTTGTCAAACCAAACTTGCTCCCGGGGTATCAGATAATAGATTTTAGATATCAAATTTAGTTGGCCAGCTTTTAGATTAGATTTTTAATCACGCAGCTCCAGATTTCAGATTTATGAGCACGCAGCTCTAGATACATATCATATTTACGAGATGGTAATGACAGTCATAACTTCTATTTATCTCAGATGCAAAATTAATAGAATTACACTCTTAGATTAGGCTCATAGGCATCAAAGTAATACATACCTTTTGCTTAATTTGTCACCTTTTAGTATCACATCATACTCCTTTCAAAGCAGAATATCAAATACAATGTATTATCATAACAGATATCACAAATAAACATCCATCACATATTAGGGTAATTGGCCTCAAGATAATACGTACCTCTTTTGCTTAGCTTACCTTTTCCCAGGATAAGAATCGTATTCTTACCATTGCAGGATATCAAATACGGCAGGTGCCATAACAAATGTTAAAAGCATTCATTCATTATATATAATTAAATATTAGATGCTTTTACTCACAGTATATATGTAGTGGTATTAAGGCCTGGAAGAGTCTCCTCCTTCACTTCCTTTTAGGAGTCTTTTACCTATATGAGTAAGCAAGCACCTCAGTACTCGTTTAGGCATTTAATCAAACACTTAATGTGCATGACTTAAATGCTTAATATTTTTATTTCTCTTTGCATTTTGAACTCCCGAAAGATCCTGTATATTCTCCAACACTCACTTAACAATCTTGTAATCTCAACTCATTCAACTACTCAACAATTAATATTATTAAAAATTCATCATATTATTAAAAATTCATCAAATATTACACCAATAATGAATAGTTGAGATTACAAGATTGAAATCTCAATTCAATCATAATTCCTTCCAAACCAACACTTAAATAACATTATTAGAATGCTTAATTAACTAACTAAACTCAGCTTTTCAAAATGAAATGATCATCTCCCTAATCATCTCACGTTGGCTGAACCTCCATCCTTAGCCTCTCTTCGAAATGATCATTTCTGCGATCATTTTGAACTGACAAAACCTCAATCTTAGCCTCAGATATGATTTTCTCTTCGAAATGATCATTTTTGCGATCATTTCGAACTAACAGAGTGACGCGGAACCCTATGGAAATTAATTGATCCATGGAATTAATTCCAAGAACTCTACTGACAAGATTTGGAAGAGATAAAGATCAAACTAAAACTCCCCTCTATGGAACCAAAGCGGTTAAAGAAGCAAGAACACCAATAATAGAGTAAAAGAATAAGATAAACGCCAACAAATAAACTTGATAAGTTTTACCTTGATCCTTGATGCCAATTGAGGAATGCACTCTCAAATCTCTCTAATCATTGGAACACGCTAAGCATTGATACACATCTGTAGATTTCTTTTAATTTCAGAAATTGTCTTTTGTTGTAACAAATATAACAAAGCTTATTTTATAACTAAAATCCAAGATCCTGACCCTTAAAGGATTGATAGAATAAATTATCTAAATCAA